GGGAGTGGCCGGAAGGGCCCGGCGGCGGGCTGGCGGAGGGGTGGGGGCGGGGCAACCGGCTAATGATTGGCGTGGGCCCCGCCGAGGAGACTGCGCCGCCGTCGCTCGCGCCTAGTCCGGAGAAATACGGCACACGCGGGAAGTAATTATTAAATGAATGAAAAAGAGAACGAACCTGCCCGCCCGCGGGCCGGGCCGCTCGCTGAATGACGTGTGAATGGCCGCCGTAATTTAAGATCCCCGTGATACGCCCGTCGCGGACGCCCCGCTCCCCGCCTCGCCTCACTACGCCACGCCACGCCGCTGCGTCACTTACGAGGCACATGGTGGAGGAAGCAACACACCTAATTTTAAAATTGTTATTATTATTATTATTATTATTATTATCATCATCATCATTATTATAATATTCAATTATTTGATGGCAATGGCCTCCTGAAGATTCAGGGATAGCTGCAGAGCATGTGTTAGATCAGTCGTCTCTGATGCATACTTTTAAAAAGAATTTTTTTTCTTTATTGTCTATTTGAAATACATTTATGAAACTGATCAGAAAGTTGAACCAGCCATTTAGCATTTATTACGTGACACGAGAAAGAAGAGCATAGCAACGAAACAGAAAGAGGATTCGTTTTAGGTAAGAAAAATATGTATGAGTCGATTAAAGAAAGTATTTATTCTAACATATAATTTCTTAGAAATCAATGTTTGGTCGGTAGAGAACGTTTATAACGTCCACCTACTTCATTGTTACACTCGGAACAAAACTTCAACCACAGAAGCGTGACTAAACCACTTTCACTGCAAGTGCAAGTGAACATACAGCCACTGACGATTACTCAACTCTCATACGTAGGATTCCATTGCGTACCAATAAATACTCTCCAACACAATCTTTAAAATATAAATTAAATAAACTCATCCAATTGACCAATAAGAAAAGGATGGCGTCGACAGAGCGGGTTGACTTTCTAAGCTAGTTTTGCTTTATCATAAACGTCCCTGATCATGAACTGGGAGACACATTTACTTGCCCAAGTTAGATTCGGAGGACAATTTCCCCTGCCACCAAGTCAATTTTTCCATATTCTTAAGTGACAAATTCGCCCTTTCGCCCTCTAAGACAACATTATCTTCATCCTTGTTCAAGATGTTGGAAAGATACTTCATTTCACACTTCACAACGAAAAAACGGTCGAGTTTAAGTTAAATCCTTAACGCTAGCTTCTCGCGTTTAACAAGACTCGAAGACTTCTTTCGCCATACCCATGAACATTATTCGTGAAAGAACTTACACGAAAGTTATAAAAAAACGGTTTTGCGAGTTGGTAGATCACAAGCAATGTGCATTCTAATTCGTATTTGGAGATGTTTAGTAACAATGCAGAAAGGGGAATATGCTTTTAAAACTAAATGTACTAGGTTTTTCTACAACGCCTCAAACTGCAGGAGAGCTCGACGAGAACGCCACTGCTGCAGCAAGCCAACGCCACCTACCGGCAGAAGGCCAAACTACGTGGAGAAGGATGCCGGAGCGTGGCGTTTGCGGTCCATGCTACTAAAAACGACTGACAATATTTACTGCTTCTGTTGCAGGGCTATTCATGTCTCGACCTGCAGAACGCGGGTATGCGGGACTCTGGTGTCTACTATCTTCAGATCCGTGGTACCACCTACTGGTTCCTGAAGGTCTTCTGCGAGCAGGACGCTGGTGATGGTGGCTGGACCGTAAGTAAACCAAGTTTGCCTTCGAAGTAAACATTCGAAACCACACGCCTGATACTTGGACTTTTCCATTAAATTCAAAACTCATAATCCCATCCCCCTGAACACATTTGTCGATCCTTGAAGCAAGTCTTGAAGGAAAAGTAATAATCTTGCACAAGATTTTTGTTCTATAAATATAAAGTATCAACAAGAATTAAAATTACACGATAAATCGATTATTTTAGTTCAAAGTTCTGAACAATGTTGCAATTACAAAGTAGTATCAACGATTTTTTACCAAATTAAAAGAATATTCGAACTTAAAATATCTTAATAAATGCTTTGGAAAAATTGTTATGGACGAAACTGGAAAGAGAAAATCGAAAGCAAAACAGAACTGAACCGCAAAACGGGTAGTAGCAAAAATACTGAAATAGTTGTGATATAAGTAGGAGTTAGCGACAAAACTACGAATGAAAAAAAAAATTATGAGACCGTGATATGCTCGAAATATGAAAACGTGAGTATAATAGCACGAAGCACCTAGGATAAGATGAAAACGAATTATAGCAGGCAGGAAGGCATAAACTGCCACCCCGGAGTGAATAAATTCTTGATTGACTGTCCGTGAGAAGTTTTGTCTTCACCAATTCAGGCATGACGGAGCCATAAATTCGACTAAGAATCTGAAAATGAAGGATAAGCCGTTGAAAACTTCAAATCAACGAAATAAAAATGTACGGTGTGAGAAAACAATTTATTTAAACATTTCTAGCGCCAACTAGACGCCGCAAAACGACAAAACTGTCAACACACCGACACTTGAATCATAAACCGTGCTTGATCGAGTGAGCGTAAAGCCATTTAGGGCTCCGAAGAAGGTCGCCGAATGCCGACCGAAACGATGGCAATCGTGCCAGCCTAGAACGCGGCATCGAGAATCTCCCGCCACCCGTTTACCGCAGCGCTACTTTTACTTAATCCACGTCGCTGGGTCGACCGCGCGAGCACGCGGTCCGCACGTCGTGACGGGCTGGGTCGCGGAGACCGCGACCAATGGCCGAGTGCCGCGAAAATTCGTGTGCGCCGCACGAGCAGGAAGATCGCGAGAGCCGAGCAGAGAAGAATCACGAGGCCCAACGGAGATTTAATGATAGGTCATTACACGGAAAGATTAGCCGGTGGTGCAAGAGTCATACGGTGCAGTAATGAATACAGCTTTATTCGCTATTGCAAGAATATCAAGGAAGTCACGAAGCTTTATTAAATTTAAACCGTTAAAAACACCATTAGACCAACCAATTCGCTTAATTAGTAATAAACACTTCATACCTTTCTCCAATACTTGTTTTAACCTAATACAAAAAGTTGGAGGGGTAGTACAAGAAAAGGCCCCGTGGTAACGCAAACTACAACGGCCAGAATGCGCTTGGAAGTCAACGAGTCAAAAGTAGGGATACGACATCGCCAACAAAATAACTAAATATTGATGTTCAAAATTAAAACGATGTTAATGAACCATCGCCCCAAAACCATTCATGTTTTTAAAACTACTTTAGTAACCATTAACATTCACGGGCGGAGGAAATTTGTCGGTATGCGCGCAGTTATTAATTTTTAATTGGGATTTAACTGACAAAATAAAGTGAAAAGATGATCAGGACAATTAACAAAAGTTTTATTATCCGATTGGATAGTTAAAAAATTATATAACTTCATTTATAGACGAAAACTCTATATTTATTATTTTTCACTCTTGGTCACTTCGGTCTGAAAACAGTGCTATTTATAGATATTTCACAATTATTCAAAGATTTAATTATAACAGTACTTTTCAATTCGAAAATAAAATATGAACGAAAATACATCGAAAATGATGTTTAGAGAACATCGAATTCAAAAAATGTGTTCAATACATCGATGATTTTATAAAAAGCGTCGCTGATTTTATAAAAAAAATCAATGAATTTATAATAACCTCGATGAATTTATAAAAAAACATCGATTTTACAAAAACATCGACGTCGAATCCTTCATACCATCCCATAACCGGTCTCCTACACGTGTCTCTGGCCTCGCACTCACGCCCGGGCGGCGCGCACGCGCCACCCACGTCCACAGGTGATCCAGCGGCGCGACGACTTCGGCGAGCCCCGCGAGAACTTCAACCGCGACTGGAACGACTACAAGAACGGCTTCGGCGACCCGGCGCGCGAGTTCTGGCTGGGCAACGAGAACATCTACATGCTCACCAACAACGAGGAGTACATGCTGCGCGTCGAGCTGGAGGACTTCGAGGGCAACAAGAGGTGGGTGTGGCACGCGGCTCGCATAAGCGTTCCCGTCAAACATGGCGACGCGACCGATAAATTTAATAAAATAAAATAAAGATTGCTCTAAGAGTAGTATAAGCAGTTTATAATGTTAAGCGGCATTGCATGATTACATGTTTTGAAAACGAGCAACATTAGGAGCGAATTTTCAAATTTGTACGAATGCAATAAAGCAGCTTTATAAACGAGTTGCATACGCTATTTTTTCTGTATAACCGCATTATAAATTTATAAGAAAATAAGAGAACTTACTTTTGCGAAACTACGTTCTTATGACGACTCGAGTAATTGACATGTGTGCAATAAAAAGGTCGTCGGCTGTTCGATTTTCAGCTATCTCCACGCGATTCTCTCGCATCGATTGTCTGAATGTGTGATGAGGCAATCATTCGTGCCGTAAAATGCTAGTACGTCATTATTTGTGCCTTAAAATACCCTTTTATGGACGAATTCTTATAACAGTAGGGTTGTTTATAATGCTGGTATACAATATCTTATAATATACAAACTTATTCATAAAGCAACGAACCATTTTTTTTAAAGTTTAAAATAGTAATTTACAGAAAAGAAAGTAATACATTTTATATGCTAGTGACATTTTAGCCCCCGAGGCCAGACATTAGGAATCGTAAAAGATAGCTAATTCCCTGGAATGACCCTGGAATTCCCTGTTTTTTACTCTCAAATGCAATAATTTGTTTTTATCCATTACCACTACACAAACGAAATTGAAAAAATGTACAAATGTAAAACTTTCATTGTTGTAATGATAATGTAAAGAAATAACATACCGCTAACGTAAATTGTACTTGAAGAAAAAAATCCTGGCTAGGAATTGCATTGCTTAAATTCATACAAGAAAAAACGTATTACTTACAAGCTTATCAAAATCAACTAAAGAAAATACAGTTTACATACCTGTAATGACTAAAATACTGTTTACTCTGAAGTGGATACACTGTTGGTACTATGAAAACAAATGTGAATAGGACTGATGTTGGGCATTTAAATGCTCTTCTTCGTAATTGTTCGCCGTAGTGATTTTAAAACCTTTACACATCACCACCGCTCATACGCAGGAAAATGAAAATTTGATTAACAATTGGAAGCCAATAGTGCTAACGGAAACTTAAGTTCTCAGAGAAAAAATGCCGTCCTTTGTCGTCGGATGGTGAAACACATGTTTTCAATAAAATATTTAATCACCAATTAACGAGGTTTGGCTAGTGAAAACAAGTAAATAAATAAAAAGCATGGCCTCATATAAAAAAAGTCTCAGTTAACGGTTTTTAACAATGGATTGTTATGTTTGCTCTTTTAAATATAGCTTATATTTCCTAGTGAGGAACGACATAAATACACTTCTAATTCAACAATCACAACAATAAAAGCGAGATTTAAAGATAGATTTGTTACTACTTGCTCTGAACATTCGCATAAAGTCTACAATTATATTAAAAAAGAGTTCTATTCCAAAATAAGTGCACGGTTTTTGTACAAACTCTAATTGCACGGTTTTAAAATTCACTAGTGCATATTGAGTAGTGACAGAACAGACAATCAGCTCTAAAATAAAATTGGATTTGACAATAATGTTACTACTCCATCATTTAACTCCTTCAATCAAACATAATACGCTTTTTGAATAGGGCCACCCCATCAGGAATTATCCGTATGAGTGTTTACACACACAATGTTGCATAACTTTACCATTTATTTCAGGTTTTTAAATACTTCAATACAATTTTCACAGTAATTAATACAGCTACTAGTGATGTGTAATACCTACCTTTTTGTGAGAGATCTCGAGGCCAACGTTTTAAAATGAAACTACACAGACAGTTTAAGCTTATCATGACAGCTATAAAACGACTAATTCAATGATATACGTTAACATTTTTTAATGTATTTTAGCCATTCCGAATTGTAGCAGTGAGACTAACTGCAACAATGACATGAATATTGATCGCAGATAAGTTCGGGTTATAATACAACTTTCCTGGCTCAACGATCATTTCGAATTCAATGCCCAAGCAACCTTGTTTGGAGTATTCTGCATTCCAGTCACTACGGACATTCCGATGGGTTCTGCACATAAATAGCTTAAGAATGATACTAGAAACACAAGGACATTCGTTAACAATAAACACATAATTGAAAACATTAACTACTAACAACGAGGCACAAATAGTCACGGAAACCAGTCACGAAAAGAACAGTGGAAAATCGAAGCTCACATTTTCTTCCGGCCTTTCTAATTCTTGGCATTTACATAATCTTCACCACATTGAGGCTTTACGCAATTATCGTCCCTAATAACTGCATTTAACCAATTATAACCTTCGCATTGTAGAAAGGACTATTGTCACGCACAAGAAAATTACATCCTGAAAAGTAACGTCGAGGCTGCAAAATAGCACGAAAATCGTTCCCTTTCTTTACTAAAAAATTATTTTTCATATCAGAGCTCGTGTAACGCATAAGTCCTTTACAGAAAAAGTAACTCTAAAAAAAGTGCTTCAAAAACAGTTTGGATCAGCTTTTTTTCTTTACTTTTTATTAGGTCATTTATTTTAAATTTACTGAAATCTGATCGACCGCATAAAAATTATATACTTCTTCACGAAGGGAGCTATATGCAACGTACCCATGATTGCACAAGAAAAGCAAGGTCATATCGCTGAACCAACAGCACAGGGGCAGCGTCTTCTACCACAAACACGGAAGTGTACAACGGGTAGCATACGCTCCACGCTGCAGGCGTACGTAAAACCAAGCATTCTGGTCAAGTACAGGAGACTCCCAAATTTCGAGGTTGATTAGGGCTAGCAAACAACTCGTAAATCGAATTCTCATAAATCGATAGTCTCTACCTAGAACACGATCCGCTGAGCGTAGAGGTGGACAAGATGAGAGATTCTGAACAAATAAATACTGCACGAAATGGAAAAAAATTTATGTTTGATTGCCATATAATAGAGAACGTACTCGTACATTGTAATAAATAGGGAGAGGAATTTTATGCCCTAAAAATCTTAAATACAAAATCATATATGAAATATGCTTTTAAAAATATGCATTTATGACCAAAAATTCTCAAATATGCACTTTAACATGCAATTAAAATTAACAATATTTCAGTTCCTGAATTAACCTTTCTTGATAAAAGCGTGATTAGAATGAAAATACATACTTTTCTACAAACAGAATATTACTATCTCCCTTACTTCGCGGGAGAAATGATTAGAGTAAATATTCATCTTAGTGAAGTACTTTGAACGTCTTAGTGAATTTCCTCTACCTGCTTAAAAAAAAGATATCAAGAAATTTCATACAAGTGTCCAAGTACCATATTTTATCATCTACGGAAAAGAAAAGAAAAACGCAAACTGTGACAAGCTCTTAGTAATCGATGAATGTTCACAAATATATAGATCGTATGAAAAGTTGAAACGTTTTATAGTTAAGTCTCTATTTTAATGAAATATGCAAAATATGGCCCTACTATTAAATAAATATGCCCCAACAGGAACAATCAGCCATGCACCAACATGTTAATCCGTATAGTATCAAATTCTACCCAAATTAAAAATAACTTAGTTATGCCCTGAAGCAAACGTCAAAAATATGCAAAATCGTTGGAATCCGCTCCTCAGTAATAAATAAGATGCGGATTATTAGGCATTAAAAATAGTAAACTTAGACAAAATAGGCAATTAAAAAGGCACGAAAGACATAATACAGGTTTTTTTAAATAGCAGAATAGAATATATTATTATTCTCCACTATCAATACAATTAGAGAAGGATTGTACAACAGAAATGTCAAAATAGTGCTACGACTCGCTTAATAGGTTGATGACATTGAATACCTGCTCTAAATGCTCCAAAGGAAACATATATAATCTGAATTTGCAATCTGAAAAGTTGTCCTTAAGCTAGGCGAAACTTCTTCACTCTTATAAAAATACAAAAGACGGATTAAATATGCTCACATGCACTTTTCAGAAATCTCAAATTTATAAAAGACGCGCTTGGCCACTTTAAAAATATACAAACATCACTACCCCTCTGCACGGCTTGGTTCTTCACGGCTTTCGAAGTTTGAAATACCTGCCCTATAAAAGTAAAATACATCATAGAATAATCTGTGTGTGTTAACTTGTCTGTATTCTGTTGGATAAAATTGGAAACACCGTAGACTTATCTAATTGAATTTTCATTAAATGATGAACATTAACGATTTTCATTCAAGAATGTTGGTAACAGGCAAGAGTCATTTATAATGAATAGACATTTATTACACAAACAGGCATTTGTTAGCCAAGTAGGTGTTGCAGGCACTACGTAATTCGATTTTAATACTTCAAGGGTAACCTAAAATATTGTGTTTTCAGTTAAAGAAATAAAATATGCAGATAGCAAAAAATTCGGAACTTGGTAATAACATGTAATACAAGAAACAAAACAGTTTGTAGTACTTTTTGGCATACAGAAGTTTGGAAGACCACTGAGTACTGTAAGTGTTGTGAATTAACGGCTTGCTTGCGGATGATGTGAGTTGACGTTTCTTCAACAACGCAGCGTAGTCAATTAATGTCTTCGATTTGATTTTCGAAGGATTCCTAGTTGCGCTTGTTATCCCTGAATTCTCGTACGTCTGTGATATGACTGTACACATTGAAAATTAGGCAACTGTACTTTGGTCGAAATTATTACAGATCTCTAAATTCCTTTTATTAACTTTCATTTAATAAGATCCCAATACTGCGCTGCAGACATACACCTTGAGCATGACGCACGCTGGTATTCACGTCGTATCTTCCTCCCGCAGGTACGCCCAGTACACGCACTTCAAAATCTACTCCGAGGCCGAGTACTACAAGCTGGAGATCGATGGTTACGATGGCAACGCGGGCGACTCACTGAATGATCCTTGGTACGGCTCGAACAACAGCCCCTTCTCCACCTACAACAGGTAAGTGGTCGAACACAAAGGCAACGAAGGAGCGCAGGCACATGGAGTGCGAGCTGCGAGGAAGTGGTGCAGACGCGCTCGCACGAGGCGAAAGGACCCCACTCGACACTTCGCATGAATTACCGCGTGTTCTAACGAGGTCACTTGCCCTGAGAATTACAGTGCAATTAATTCACATTACGAGAGTCCATTTTCAAGAGTTTAAATTCACCTAACAAAAAGATCCTCCAGTCATTCAAAATAATGACTGCCATTCATGCTCGAAGGCTTATTTAACGAATCTATTAATATACGTTTCTAAAAAAAGCAGATTAAAATAAAGTGTAATAAAACTAAACGATAGAATTTTCAAAATCTTAATGTCAAATCAAGAATTTCTATGATGAAATAAAGTCTTTCATAAATGATCCCAATATTGTTAATGACAAAAGTGACGTCAGATGCCCTGATGAATGCCTTAAATCAAAAGAGGATTAAATTATAGACTGGTGGCTTTATTTTCAAATAAAACTCAATAATTAACTCTTTCAAAACCCATTCAATGTATATTTAATATCGCAAAGTTATTCAATATTATTTCAAGATATCAAAATACTCTCATGCTTTGGAATGTGAACAGATGAAAGAGCGTGTCACCCTCACATCATCATGAACAAATCATTTCCCAAACGCTCAACTCAACGAGGCACGATCTCAACGGTGCGGTGTGCGTTTCAGGGACAACGACCGGTCGTCACTCAACTGCGCGTCCATGCTCAAGGGCGGCTGGTGGTGGAAGTCATGCGGCCGCGGCCTCAACGGCCTCTACCTCAACGACCCGCAGGATCTCACCGCCCGGCAAGGTAGGCATCTGTTCGCAGCGACCAGCTAGGGGCGTCCAGATACTCCATCTCCATCCTTATCGTCCTTAACATCGTCACCAGAAACGCAACACACTACTCTGCGATTCAATAGTATTTTACATTACAAGGCAAGGAAGTGGATCATTCCGTGACTGGACGGGAGAGTCCAAGACGACGATAGACCGAGTTTAAAAATTCCTACATGTCATGGAAAGTCTCCTTTGATGAGCGATGTACAATATTTTATGCGAGACCTCAATTTTATGACAATTAGTCCGTGAGAAGCACAAATTAAACTGAAGATCACGAGAGCATACTAGGTATTTTCCTTTCCGGGGGTACGTTTCAAGGCAGGTGTTGAAAAAAATTGCGATCCACTGTAAGAAGACAGGTAGATTAACCATAAGATGTTAATAATGGGACAGAACTGATGGTAGGATGTTTAGACTAGTTACGTAATCTCATGAGAAGGCCAACAACGCCCTATCGACGTAATATCATACAAATATTACACGGGACTGAAATACGCTGCCTTCACTTTCACGTATTTGCACTGCTCCAACCCCCTGCGCCACCGAGAGGGGAGTCCATTTCATACCCGACTCGAAATCGAAAACGGACAACAACCATGGAACGCAACCAGAAACAGACATCGGGTTCGATGCCCTGGCGGGCACTGCGGCGAAGGGAAGCCGGGCCAGGCAGCGGTCGATCGACCCCGCGTGTCCAGCGAGGCCGGCCGGGCCTTCCAGCATTCATTTCCGCCCCCGCACCTCCCCTACCGCGCTCGCAGCTATTCATAGACACCCCTTCCCCTCCCGAGTCCCGAAGAGAACCGACGTCAGCCGCCCTGCTGCGCCTAACAACGTACACCCAAACTATGGAATGCCAAAGACTTTCAACTACAAGGAAAATGTGGCATTGCGGGTGCTCTGGCCTCGGCCGCAGTAGCACACACGTTTGATCCATCAGATCGTGTAGGTTGTATCTTATTAAGTAGGTATGGCTTATTTAAGACAGAGCGGAAAATATGTGAACATCGTATTTACTTCAGAGACGTATTCCTCCACCGCAATAGTTGTGCATTCACGCCCCTTTGTAAAACTTTTATGATAGTTGATGATTTTCGTGAAGTTGTCAAGGAATCACGTGATAAACACACCTCACATTGAAGACTCGGTTTTGAATTATACGCCTCACTTATCATAAAAATTGTGCAATATGTTTGAAAAAAAAAAGGAATGGACATATAATAGCACATAGCGAGTCCTATAATTTTTGGTGGCGCCCTATACAGCATATTTTCATTGAAAGATGAATTCGCAAAGAGAAGTGTCGAAGCCAAATGCAAACGAACGAATAAAAAGGAAGCAGCACCATTTGAGCGAATGGTCACAATCTTCAATTATGTTGATAGCACGCAATTGTTGGAAACAGTCACTTTGGTCCCTTCTAAGCCAACATCTCTACCTTTTTTACCCCTATGAGGGAAATCTTTATTCAATACACACTTGTGGAGTTTCACACGTCTAGGGGTCAGCCATGGATACCTTCAGCTGTGTCAGCAGGTAGCAATGGCCACTGGGCCACCCCTACCCACTTACGGAGAAGGTTGATGCGCACGCGCGTTAACCATCTCGAACCCCCTGCACGGTATTTGTTGTTTTTAACACAATATTGCCAAGCATTGCTGTTGCCATTATCATCTAGTCAAATCGTTCAGTATCCCTGAATAGAAAGTAAAGGTTTTAATACTCGTACAGTATTCAGCACATAATGATGAAATTAATTTGTGTCTGTATCTAAAGCGAGTCGTCTTGTTAGCTCTCCTCACCTTCTTTCTGGACCATCCCCTTTTCCCAAATATCTCGTCCTGTAAAAGTTTCATACAAAAATATTGTTCCCACATCTATGTATACACACACACACATAAGTAAACCAACATTTTCAACCGTCTCCTGTTCCAGGCATCGTGTGGTTCCGCTGGCGCGGCTGGGACTACACGCTCAAGAAGGCGGTGATGATGATCAAGCCGCGCGGCAACATCAAGAACGAGGGCGCTGCCAACGCGGCGAGCTGAACGCCTCGCCCGCGCAGCACGCGCGCCGCGCCGCCCGCCGCCCCCACCCCTGCGCCGCGGCCACGTCCCCCTCGCCCTCCCCCACAACCACCCACCCTCCTCCTCTCCTGCCCTCCCTCCACGCCGCGAGCGAATGAGTGAATGAGAATGTGTGTGACCGTGCGAGCGAGTGAGACAGAGAGGACAGTCGCGCGGCGCGTCGCCGCCCTTCGGCGCGCGCGCCTCGTGCTCTAACGCCGTGTCCGCCGCGCCGCGTCGGCGGGTCGCACGACTTCGCAGCCAGTAGCCTCCTTCGTACCGCTCCACCGCCCCGCCCCGCCCCCCCCTCCCCCTCTCGGCCACCTTACCGTGCGGCCAAAAGACACGGTTGAGCAACGAAGGGTGTAATAAATATTTTGAGCACGATGAAATCAGTGGTCACGTGAGAGCGCTTAAACGCAATGGTGTGTTACATTGATTCTCAATTTGTACGATGATATCTGGATTTTTCGGACTCGCCAGATTATGCGAAGGTGGGATCCGAATAATTTTCCAAGGCGATTCCACATAGTAAGCACACATAGGCGTCCTCCGAATGCCTCATTTCAAAGCAGATTTCACTAGTCCTGAAGAGTAGTGTCGTCGAAAAACCCAGGCAATTACAAGTGAAACCCCAACTTGCACAAAGGCATTCTTGTTCGCATTTCGCAGCTCAAACGTCACGTTCAGTGCTCAAAATGTTTACGTGGTTACGTTACACTGACCTCCTTCCCGTCTTTGTTGTGCAACTTTCATTTGGGCGCACGGTACCCCCAATGGCAGAATCCGCGTTGCATTCGTCGCCCGAATCCGACGAGCCTGAAAACGCTCGACAAGAGGACTTGTCTGAGAGCTCACGTTCATTTTCTTTCCCGTTTCAACCCCCGTCCCTCACAATCACTTTGGTCCCTTCTAAGCCAACATCTCTAGGCTTGGACGTCGTTCAACATACTGACAATTAATATGAATGCGAATATACGTTCTAAACTGAAAGATACTCTCTGGAATCTCACGAAGCAATAAGATCGGATTCCTATAGCGAATGAACGGTGTATCGCAAAACGTGAAACTCTTGAAACAAAATCTCCTATATTATAACCTTATTACACGCGAAGTCCCGCAATCAACGTCAAATCCTAAAAGCTATTCAATTATATTTGACAAGTGCCATTTCGAACACACCTATTCCAATTTCACTTACATTAGCCAAATTTATTCCGGGCATTCTTCATTCTCGCTTGCTTTCTTTTCACGTGAATTTCGAATGAGGTAGGAGTGCACGCAAATGAAACAGCATTCGCTCGATAGTGAAGGCGACCCGGTCGCTGCCACAATAATGAGGTCAAAAGGAACCTACTCAGTGAGTATCCAGCACATAATCATGATAACATTATGATTCGAGATGAAAATAAAATACCTGCAAACCAAGTACTAAATGTCTTTCACACGGCTGTTTCTTTCGGCAATAAAATTGCCATTATATGCTGGACATCAATTCAATTAAAAAAGTAGTGGAATTTCTTGATTGTCTCCATTTTAAGGTTTATCCTATCCAATCCTTTCAAACAAGAAAACATCAAATGAACAGAGTAGGAAAACAAATTATACATTTTACAAGGGTTATAAAATTGATTCACCATCATGTGAACGAGTACATACTCTATTTTTTTACCCTATATAAAGTACAAAATCTATATATTCATTGCAAAGAATAGACGCATCCAATTCTTAATCACGGACGTAATGCCACTAACGATGCACTCTGAAAATCTATTTCAAAAATGTGTAAATCACTTGTCGACTCAACAATGACAGAACGCAATTAACAATGATATCGTCATTAAAGACAATATAATTCCAAGACCTTGAGCACATTCAAAGCTTCATTTCGCCAATTGTTTTTCAGCAGTAACGCGAATCCTGCCATTAATCTGGTCCCCGTCGATCCTTCTGATCACCTTGTTCGCTAGAGTTGGCCTACCAAGATAGCCCGCGTTTCCCTGAGTCCGCGACCGGAACAATTAGCCCGGCAGCCAATCGACAAAGCACGCGACCCTATCCCTAGCATCTTGATTGGCCGCCGAGCACCAAGCAGCGAATCAAATGGCCAACTGCCAATGAACATTCAGTGCCGTCATATCATTTTGAACTGGTTGCTTATCGTCATTTCTTTCGAAACGCGTCTCACAAAAGCCTACCCCTTCCCTTAAAGGGTTCATTAAAAATGGCGGCAAGAATACTCTGGCCGATAGAACACGATGTTCAGAATGTACCCCTTGAGTGTTTGTGATTAGCTCTCTATCCCACAATCCCTGTCCTGTCAACTGAAACCATTTTATTTTTCTACATGGTTTTATGAAAACAAAATCTATCTCCTCTCTCTGATATTTGCTAGTGATTCTGGATATTATTAAACTTGTGTCTGCTATAAAATGTTAAAATTCATCCTCAACAATGCATCTCAATGACATTCTCACTTTTTCTCCTCATAGTTAAAAGATCTGAATAAAATGTAACTAGAATTCAAATTATTTACATTTCAACATATCATTTTACCCAGTTATTAATGCATATTACTTTGATAAACTAACTGACAGAAGAAAATTGAACATCTTTCAAACATTGCATCCTTTCAAGGAGAATGTAAATGCAATAGTAGAAATATTTTGTTGAGGATGAGCAAAGCTAAATAGCAGAATCGGTACACTAAATTTCAATAATCATGAATCACATTTCTTTTGTCTATAACCCTTGCAGCTCATTGATCTTCACCCTCTTAAACCTCATTGTAGCTAAAACCTAAATTATTTATAATATTCCTTTTTTTACTGCAAGTTAATAAGAATTATCATTTCCATTTACATTACAAAATTCCTGCTGGATGATTACAAATCAGTATTATTAATGAAGGGTGTTCTATATAGCATATTATGTACTGCACTTATGCCCACTCATGTTCAAATTATAGGGGAAGCTATGTACAAGGAATCACACGTTGTCAGGATGCTCGGAGATACAAGGCAGGCTACTTATTCAGAGGCTACATACACGACCAGAGTCACATGCAAATAATTTAATAACATGTCTTTTTGAACCATAATACTTTTCTAGTAAACAATGAATTATACTTATACATTACAATCTGTTCTCAAACTGGAGTACAACAATTTCCCAAGAGGAATTTCAACTTTCAATACTTCTAATGTTATATTTTCTCTATTTATCACTTGAAAACAAAAAGATTGGTTCAAATAGGCAACCACACTGTTAAATGTCAATGTCACTCTAGTTGTAAACATGTTGTTTATTTAACTTCAATGAAGTGGACGGTTATTTTCTTTCTCCATAAAATAAGTACTACTAATATCTTCATAATTAGATTTGTACTGAAGACAAAAATTCACTATTTAAACTGATGACAAGACATGACAGCCACTTGCTACAAGGTTGGCACTGGTTCTGAGAAAAATACACTTTCAAATATTTCAGGCAATGAAAATTAATTTTCATAACTTTAGTGAGAAAAGTTGCCAGTATAAAAACAGAAAGAAAGTTCTATACTTTTGCAAGCAATCAAATTGAAATGTTTGAAATTTCAAATTCTCTCACAAGAATAGAAATCATTGGACAGGTTAGCAATTTCCAAAAACAATGTTTCTCAGAAAAATTGGCAACCTATGTAACAACAATCTATTAAAGCTATCTAAAATTTTGGTGCAAGGGTTCTCTGTAGTACTGGGAGTATACACCCTTCCAACACAAAGAGTTCCTCAATTCACAGAAATCACAGAGTAGTGTTTCATCATTATTACCGGTTAGAGTATATTCTGGTTGAATGGTTCATCAGTTATTATACACAACGGCATTGAGCACTCTTAGTCTGCTACATACAATATCTTCATCCACCTGTTAGATTGCATGAAGCACAAACCATATATTTAAATGGCATTTTCAAGTGTAACAAAATCTATAAAAATCTCTGTGAAATTAAGTGACTGAGAAACTCTGATCATACTGTGTTTTCAAAGACATCTGTCTGGAATTTTTGTACATATCATTTAAGTTGTATAAAGTACGTTTTTTAGTAAGCCTCGTTCTTTTTATTTGACCTACCTGAAATTGCCAATTCCTCACTCAGCAGCACACTTAAAGGTTCGGCCTTCTTCTGACACTGACGTATTTTCTTGTCAACCCACACCATCTACAAATAAAATAACACAAATGTCTAAACTATTGTTGCCGACTTTAAGGCGCTGTTCTATTCCCTCCAAAAACATTTCATTAGAAGACAATTATAAGAAAAAAACAATTTTAACAGAAATGACACGAAACGATAACTGCCACATCAAGTTACATTTTCTTAAACATACATGACAAACAAATTTAGTATCCCAGTTCTTTATTCACAATACGTCATTCAGGAATGTCACTACCGGTCGTTTCATCAATACACAACATAACCTAACAATTGTACTGACAACATAATTCAAAGAAATCATTAACTCTCAGCGAATACGTGCACCAACCCAAAGAACTAGAAGTGAAGGAGTAATTTGTATCTGAGAAGCATACTTACTCCTTTCTTCAGTTCACTGATTTTGTTGAGCGTTCTGTTCAACTCCTCTTGAGTTTTCCTCCTTAATTCAAATCGTTCACGCTCCCCCCTCCTTCCGGATACGATCGGTAAATTACGTTTCCGCTTTTCAGCCATTTCTTACAGAACACTGAGTCTACTGTTTTGTTTAACCTAAATCCTGATCACTTTACTTTTAATTTTTCACGGTTTTTCTCTATATTCTGTCACAAATCTTTCTACAACATTGGTAAATCCCGCATACCATTCAAAACATGTAAAACGCCAAGTGCTAGTAGCGCACTCTGTGGTACGCAAGAATATTTGAAAACCAAGTCCACCAACACAACAAATGAAAATAAAAACAATAACATTCTATAACCAACTATCGCCACGGACATGTAAATTTTTTGCGAGGCACGAATTTATTCATTTAAGTCGTGTTTTCGTGTTTGTAGATGTGATCAAGGATCGGGACGGCATATAAAATCATATTAAAATTAAAATCGAATCATCAACGCTAGAGAAGGATTTTCCTAAGGATGGGATGATTTGACAGCTAGTGCTGGCAATACAACTGACGATTCTGTGTCCTTGAACTAAATAGACTCTCCTTTCTCCATTCGTTCGTTTGCAGTTGGCTAACGTGTAAGAAGCCACGACGCTCCCTGCTGTGATGTCCTCGTCCGACGAAAATATAGTGCGCCACGAGAAATAATTAAAATTAGGAAGTGCAGAGCTTTGTGCTCTAATGTAAAAATTCGTTTTTTTTATAAAAATTGTATTGAATTTAGTTTTTATGTGATAAGTATTATGTTTGTTTTAAAATCGAGTCTTGAATGTGAGACACGTAGTCGCCACGGTGCACGTTTCCGGCCTCTGTGCTGTGTGGCGACTGGCGACCTGTGTTTGGGAGCTTTTCGTGATATTTCGTGCTTTTTTGTGCAATTATATCACGATTGTGAGCAATGAGACCAAGACATTTTCCCATTTATGTAAATAAATTTCTATATTTCCCGGACTCGCGTGGTGCATATAACTAAGCGAAACTCAGACATCTCGTCAGTGATGTCTCGCGTGAACCGTAAACAAACCCTACGAAGGGGCGTAACTAAACAGCTGACGCGGCGGAGGGATACTTCTCTGAAGTAACGTGATGTTCACTTGTTTTTTCCGATCTGTCACTTTATCCCATCGTTAGGAAAATTCTTGTATAACTGCGGCATGCCATTACGTAAGATGCGTTGGACCCTCAGACCCGCTCAGACCACCCCAGACCCAGACTCAAACTGCATGCCGCAGACCACTTAAGGATTTATATTCAGATAGTGGTTGCCTTTTCGATCTATTACAGTTATTTAATTAAAGAAAATAATTATAATTAATTACTATTGCATACATAGTTGAATATTAATAGCTTCAAAAATACAATTACATCAATATAGTAACTTATTAATAAGTATTTATATGATAAAAAAAATTCATAAGCGGATTACTGACACCCTTTTATAGAAATAGCAAAAACATTAAAATTTCTCGACATGTAGATTCAGAAAGGCCACTGCAGTTGTAAGTGGTCTTTGTAGCAAAAAACAGAAGGGGTAAAGAATGACAATTTTCCCAGATGCTATTTTTTCCTACAAAGATAATTTTGAAGATCGTTTTTTTTTCTTAATGAAATCTGTTGTCCAAAAACAGATCATGAAATAGTCCTGTATAATGTATAGAAAATATGAATACTCTTATAATTTTGCTTGAAATAAATAATATTTTTAAACAATTATTTTCTCGAGAACAGTTCCAATATTTTGATTTTAAAATTCATCCTAGAAAGCAGTATTTGTAGTATCAAAGAATGTTAAAAAAAATTGGTTCTGGTCCCAGATATTAATTAGAATGAAGGGAACACAAATTTTAAGATTAAAATTTCATATTGGATTAAGCAAATTATATTTATATCCTTCCACACTACTCATTTATTGTTATTTCATACCGAATTGAAATGTTTTCACCAAGATTAAACTGGAGCACATTATTAAGAATATACTGAAGAAACAATTATAATGTACAATATTTATTTGTCTTTGGGCTTTACAATTCAGATACATTAAATTGAAGCGCCATATGAATATCACTAATGATTAGGCTTTATATATTATGACAAGTGGCCATCAAATACAAATAGAACAGTACATCACAAAATAGACAACTCACATATTCAACAAGCAGGCATTATTTGTATAAACATGAACTAGAAATTGCACTTTGTTTCAATGTAGGAAATGTGGTACCATTATTTTACAGAAAACAACTTTAAAGAAAATTTATTTTAACACAAAAATATTGATATGTGCAAATCATTACAAGATATTTTATTATCCACAGCAAGAAATTAACCCAAGATTCTCTAATATCATGATAACATATTCATGTTCATTTCAGTCTCAAATGATTTTTATGCAATTCTCCATATTACATATTACAATAATCACATTTATTTCAGCCAATTCATGAATCTTTACTTCATTAGTAGAAAACTTGTATCGTGATTCCAATACAAATGTTTGGTACTGCATTACTATAAAGTTTATATAGAAACAATACTTCAAGCTACACCCTTAAATTCAAGTACATTACATTCAATAAAAAAAATTGTTTGTTTTTTCTCAAATAAGTACAATTGTGAATACATCAAAATTAACTGCAAGGACAAGGGAGGAATAATATAGTAAATTCAAAATTACAAATTGCTAAGTTTGATATAACATATACTCATTGAAAATAAAAAGTGTAGCAAGCAAATTCGGAAAAATCAACTAGTTTTCCCCCTTGCATATTATATATCTCTCATATTCAAAATATCACACTTACACATTTATTATTACTTTTATTATTTAAAAAAAGAGAATGATCTTAAAAATGTTCTTTGAGACTGCCTTGAGAACTTAATGAGGCAAAATTTACCAACATAACACTACCAAAGAATATGCTTATAGGAATAAATATTCTTAAGTATTCATATGCTGTAAGGAAAATCCTATATTTTTCCATTATCTGTAAAATACCACTGCATGAACAATTACAATGTTCTCCACCTCATTCATTTTCAATCAAATTGAATTTCAAGCTACACTACAATAAAGATAATAAATATATTTATATGTATTCTGTAAATATATAATACACTATTTGTCACTTATGAATATAAGAAATTATTCTCAAGATTTAATACTGCCAACACGTGAATATATGTGACAAAAATGCAGCAATTGTAACATCACACTTTGGGTATATCATTATTCACAAGCAATGTCAGTAAGTATCCATTGGGAAAACCGGATATCAAAGCTTACATTATGCACTCGCATTAACATTAGTCTCCTACATTTGGGAACAGTGGTTTTGGTTGATGCATGCATTTTTATTACAATTTTATTCCACGATCATTTTCTGCTTCAATAGCTACTAAAAATTTGGAATTTATTTTAAAGATACAAATATAATAACGGCTAATTTGGCTTTAAGATATATAATATATTACTTAGCTTATCAGCTTACGAAATGTCATGGGTGTTCATAATGTACATTTACATTTCGTAATATCAACACTGGCCATATTGACCTAATAACTAATCAGATAAAAGTATGTTTCAAGATTAATATTTAAACAATTACACTGAATACTAGTTCAAAAATTTAGAATGCATTAACACTTCTTGAAAATATGAATTTACTTAACCAATGTAAAGAAATTTTGCAATCAATATTCAAAATGCATTTGTCAATAGCAAACAATAACGTGATTAACCACTTTAAAAAATTCCTCACATTCATTCGATGTTGCAAATAACATCCAGATCTAAATAGTCTTACTCAGTTTTCATTTTCCAAAAGGATGCAGAATGTCAGTGCATTTAAAATATGTTGGGCTAGAAAATGAACCTGGATAATTTGGGATTAATTTTTTTAGGATTTGTATTGGAATCCTGGTTTGGTCACTACCAGATCTTCATTCAAATATTACATTCATTATAAACACCCTACATTTGAATAGCATGTCAACACAAAGCAGGTACACAAAAGATAGTGCATCATAAAATCTAATATCTACTTTTTCTGTCATATACAAATAAAGGTTTTCCATAGTAACAAAATAAATAAATTCTTTTATAAAGAAAATGAGGTATTTAGTTCATATTTTACTATTACTGCAATGGTAACCAAGTGAATACTAGGGCATAAAGATAAAGAATGAGATGGTACAGTAAATTCAAGACATTTTAATTAACTATTCTTTGGTCATTTTTCTTTAACTTCACAGTAATGATTAACAACTTTTGAATTGAGACACAAAAGAACAGAGAACATTATGTCATAAAATTAAATATATCTTTTGTTTACAACACACATTTTAAAGCATAAGTACTACTAAAAATTAGACAATGAGGTAACAGTAGGTGTTAGAGTATAAGAGACCAGACAGAGAAGATAGATCAAAAAAATAAAATAAAAAGTACAAAAGTAACATACTGAAGTGTGCCTCCCATTTGGATAGGGAGGAAAGAATATAACTAACCCTTGAGATAATCGATGAACATCCTCAATATTTTAAAAGAACACAATTTCTTGATCAAAAAATGTCAATAGAAATAGTCTTACGTGTCTCAAATAGCTAAATGCATTGATTAATATATAATCTTTGGTAATATGATGGGAAATAAGACCTTCTATTTAGAATCATTAATACTCACAAAATATACCATTTACGAGTATTTAGCCACAGCATTATAATGATATAACTTCCAATAGGAAACTAAGTAGATTTTAACATTATTTTTAGTTTTAATTTTAGTATTAAAACAAGTTAATTAGAAGATACGATATATTGAATAACGCTACTTTTGATAGTTTTTATTGAAATTATTAAAGATTTAAGTTTAGTGCCTTGTTGTTCTATAATTATGCCATGTATAAACAAAACTTCATGGAGTTTCTGAATCATAATTTTTTCAAAGAAAGCACACATCAAGGAAATCGAGGAGTAAAATGTCAACAACAAAAATTAAACAAAAATTCAGTTTATGTGTAATAACACACAGAAACAAATGCAAAAGCATCATTGACCAATTTGTAATACATTGATAATGCTACTTATTGTGGCTTAATGTGAAAGTGAATTAAATTGTTGAAATTATTAGGGCCTCAAAGTATTATCTCATCAGAAAATAATGCAGGACATAACCTAAAAGAGTTAGACTAGTCCTACTCCTCACCTATTTCCCTGAGCTGTCAATCGACAGGCACTGACATTCAGAAAAATAAGTACAAAGTGTTCTAATGTCATGTTCCATAGTCTCAAGCCTAAAATCCTAGCATGGTTCTTACATTCGCAAAACAGACAGACATATGCTGTCATGAGAGACAACAAGGGTACTGCTATTTCCCTCGAGATTCACCACAGACCTGAGCAGTGGCAGAAGCAGTCAGTCGAGAGTAAATGCTTCCCTTTGCAAGTCCCCGCAACGGACCTTTCCTCAGCTCAGCATTGGGGCCTCGTGGCTTATACGTGCGCTCTCCCAATAACGTTGGATCAGGTCCCTTGGCAAGAGATGAACGGGGACTTGGCGTCTGAAGTAATTCTGGATTGGGACCACTCCAGGTCATGTAGTCCGCTCTAAAAAGTCAAACCACCATCATGTTCTCAATACACATTTCACTGCAAAACTCAGGTCTTTGTGTGAATATATTTAACATTACATGATTTCATTTTTTCATACTTTAGAAGTCTGAAGGTCTATTCCTTAAGGTGATTAGAGCAAGATACATAATATATATAACATGCTGTTTTTGTAGTATTATTAATAATATTTAGAGTCACATACACAATTACAATCATGTATGATGAGTATATATGATGGTTTGGGTGGAGAGAGCGAAGTTACATTACTATTCAGAAGCAAACAAGGGGCCATCTCAGCATTTGCTCAAAGGACTAGGGAAACTGAACAAAACCTGATCAAGATGGGGTCATTGGCCTAGAAATACAATACTTGTTACAGTTAGATTTAAGATATTTATACAGTAAATAAATTATCTGGTAATAATTTAACATTTCAGGATGTTATTTTTAGAATTCCTTACTAATAATAATATAATTAATAATATAAATTAATAATAATATTAATAATAATAATAATAATAATAATAATAATAATAATAATAATAATAATAATAATAGCAATACATATCAATTGTTATGTTTGCAACTACATCAAATTTAACAATAGTAGTACATTCTATATTTAAAACTTGAAGTGGTGAGGAGGCAAGTTTTGAACAGTCTTTTTTCCATTAATTGAAAGATGTAACTCTTTTAAGTACTGGTAGAGTTCGAATAGTTTACAATGACCAGTTTTAGAGTAATAAATGAGACAATAATGTTTCTATTAATTGTATATCAAAATAACTTGTTTTGAATATCACCCTCAATTTTTTCCAAATATAAACATTGTTTATTATAAAAATTGTATATTATTATTACTCTCAATTTAATTTACTAATTCAATCAAAACAGGAAGAATACATCATATATCTAATAGAATTACAAATTTACTTACAACAGAAGTTCATCATTTGCACCAAGATGAAGATCAGGGTTTGGTCCAGACGCTTTACTAAGATAAGGTGATCGGTATTCAGCATCTTCAGCTGTGCAAGTTCCTCGCGACATCCTACAAGGGATGCAATAAAACAAAAAAAACTGAATAGCTACAGTACAAGGTGGATCCAAGGACTGAGAGAAATTTTTTAAACTTTTTGCAATATTATAAATTTCAGATGTCCAACTGAAAATTGAACCTGTACTATTCTTATAAAAATACCTTGCTCTTTTCACATAAAAAATTTGAAGCCAAGTTTTAGAAAATTTTGGAAACAATTCGAGCTTAATGTAAAGTTCCCTCAAAAATTTTTTGAGAAAATTTAAGAGATTCATTTCAAATTGGAAGGGATTCAATATTACCCAATTGATCAAGTGATAACAGTTCTAGTGTAAACCCTGTGTATGCTATACTTTAATAAAAATATTAACTCCTTTCGAGACCATGAACTGAAAAGAGAGAGGGCACTGTCATCCAATCGGGAGATTCAATCCAAACATTTCTGTTGTAACGAAGCTTGCAACTTGATGACAACCTGCCCCTCTCCTACCAGCTTGTGACCTTAAAAGAACTCTCGGTTTTAATGGGAGAATAGTGTTGTTCCATGAGGGACTGAGAATCATGAATGCACACTTTATAGACCTACATGTGCACACACGTATAGGAGAATGAAAAAACAACTTTTTCATTCTTAGGGCCCATAACTCCTTTTTTGTCACAACACTGACACTTGTCCCTGAAGCATTACATAACATACAAAAGAAAACATACTTAGAAGGCATCTTCAATTGTAGTTGCATTCTTCAATTTTTAAGAAAACATTATATATATTGTTTACTATTTAGCATATTAAAATGTCAAGTTCAAGGAGAAGAATATACTTTCAGTTGAGAAAGTTTTATAGAAATTTACAAAATATTGTACTACTTAACTTACTTCGGAACGTCTTTCTTGTTCTTTGGGCGTTTTGCATGGGCGGTGGCTGATACAGGAGATGTCTTCTGAATAGTGTGTGCTGGAGATTTCTCAATCAGAGGCTTACGAGCTGGAGATTCACTTTTACGAGGAGTAGATCGTGATGCACTTGATTCAGGACTCGGTTTCACATCAGCTTCTGAGGCACCTTCTTGTTTAGAATCAGTTGATCCACTTCTCTGTTGACTGAATCAGATGTACACAAATATGTGTCAGGCCATTAGAAAAAGGTTAGAAACATAAATATGACAATAACTATAATAATAAAATACATTTTTCATTATTGCTTACTTCTTTAATTCAAAAGCCAACTTTTCTTATTTTTAACCATATTGTTCATTCTTTACTATTCTTTATTGACACAAAAATGAATGGAACAAAACTAATAAAATAAACTAATAAATGAACAAACTAGTGAATAATTACTTTTACTGATAAGAGTATGTTAAAAATTATAAAAGAACACACATAAATATGGTGAGACTTTCCTTGCAGAAATATGAGCTATAGTATTACCAATATTAACTATCAGATTACAATGATAAGGCTATCTAAATAAGAAGTCAAATCATTAAAAAATGAATACAAAATACATGGTACTTCAACTCTTAAGATAAAAAGTACTCTTAAGACAGAAATATTGCACTGGTCAACACAACCTGATTCTCTTGAATGAATTTGACATAAGTCTTATAATTTTAAAATCAAAAAGAATACATACCATAAGGAGAGTTTACATTATAAAGTTTTAAGTTTTATGTGTTACTGATAGCTCAGTCATTTCCATTGATACTCCAAGGAAAGTGCAAAGGAAATGAAGATAAGATAATAAGCCTACTTGACATGGCATATCTCCATGCCATTTTCCTGAACATGGCCCAAAGAAAGAAGACATTTGCTCTTCCCAGAGCTCAAAAAGCATACTTACCCCACCATCTTCATAAGTTTTGTTAAAAGACCTAATGTGCAGAGGATCTGCACCTGATGCCAATGTTTAAATGATAGTACACCTTCTCAGATAATATGCCTATCAACCCCAAATAGATCCTACTCATTTTTTATCCGTATATTCCTAGTTCTCATAATGTTTTACAATTGTAACAAAGCATGGTATACTTTCGAACGTTTTTGGAATTCCAAAAAGTGATAAAGACTATGAGGTTAACAAGACCTGGAAGATGCTTGTGAGCGCTGTTCCTCTTGAACCATGAACTGCAATATTTGAGAAGCTCTATCTTCATCATAGTCAACACTATCTAGAGCAATCCCAACCACACGTTCTGGAACATCCTTGTGACGTTCCTGCAGACGAACTTTCACTGAAAATAAACAACAAAGCTCACATAAAAACAGAGAAACACAGATTGGTTTATAAACTATTTATTCTATTTATTATCGTCATCTTCATCATCCGGCATGTTAGAAGTTTCTTTATTTACAATGTTTAGGTTTCATATTTTTCCATCCTACAGTGTCATATGCTGTAATGTACAGAGCCTGTCAAATGTAATCACATGAAATGGAATAAAGAATTTCTTCAAATTTTCTTGGCAATTTTCAGAAAAAAACATTACAAAGAGCTTGTAACATCTGTTTCTTATTAATATTGGTTCAAATCCTTCTTAAGGTTTTTCTTACTTAAACTATAAATCGAATGACTGTTTTAAAACTGTCTTTTGAAACATAATTCCAATCATTAACAACACTGCTAGCAAACAAAATAAGTAGTGTTAGAAGTTATAATTACACTTTACTACAAGATAACACTCAATGCGTTCAATGTTTTTGGTTGACATTTGTACACAGAGCTAGTTCTGATTTTGTGGAAATATGCACTCAACATGGAAACCAAACAATTCTTGAGCTATTAATTAATTTTGTTTCACTTATTTCATAATATCAAAATGTTATGTATCAATACAAAGTCAACTGACCAAGAACTAGTATAACTTAAAGCAAAAAACCTCGATTAAAATTTTACTCAAGCTCAGAGACTTCTTAGGGAGTTAATGTAAAAGCCAAAGTACATTTGTTATCAACAAATCAAAAAGAAGTCTACTAGAAGGCATGGAAATAATTTATACTTGTTATTGTATGTAACATAAATAAATATAATATAAACATATAATTTATATTAATATTATTTTCTAAATTTGATAATCAATAAATAATCTTAAATACTAAAAAATTATTTGTTTTTCCCTTATCCTTGTAAATGTGTACAAGCATTTTCAACAACGAATTTGCTCAGGCTTTTATAATCAGCATTAATTTCTTAAAAACCCTAATTGTGTGTTAAATGTATAATTTAAAAAAAAGCTATATTTTTTTCTCAGGAAATTGCCGGATCATCCTTTGTTTTATATTTAGTAAGTTAAGAGTTTAACAGTTGCATACCATTAAGAGATGGGGAAAATGTGAGTGTGTGAGTGGGGGTCCGCGACAGATCCTTAGTTTACACCTTTCTTTATTCAAATAACATTTTTATTTCATCATTTAGGATTTCTATTTATAGAAACTTTTTTAACCATACCTGATGTTTCCATGTATCAATTCTTTCTGGATGTATCCAAAAGAAATAAAAATGATTACCATCTACAATCATTTTGGAACATGCAGGAGCTCACAATGGAATCGTATTTTAGTTATTTTCACTATACCTCAAAAACAGAAAATATTTTAATAGAAACTTGTAGAAAATGATTTTAATATATTGTTAAATACTTATGTTGTTAAGTACAGAACATTTCTCTTCAATTATATAGCAATTTATTCTGGGGTCCACTGTCGACCCCGCTCCCCACATTGATTTTTCTCTGAGTACCGGAATTATTATTATATTTATGTTTGATTGTGCACATTTCAAAGTGCATTAATGTTATAAATAATAAATAAATATTATTGTTCATTACTTGGTTTTACGAGTATCAACAGTAATAGTAACAATATTCCTTATTTTATTTCACTTAGTTTATATGGGTAAATCTCAATTAGGTATATTTTTAATAATCTTTTGAAACTATCTTTGTTTTAATATTATTAGGTAATATGTTATAGAGTATTATTGCTTTTCTATAAGGATTTTTGTTTGTTGATGTTTTAACTACATATATTCAGTGGTACTTTAGGTGTCCAATAATATTGTGATTGTATACTGTATTGATTTGTTTGGAGCACATATTTGTGTTTTTTCTAATTAAGAGTATTGTTCTATACATATACAATGCTACTACAGTCAATATTTCAGATTCTTTACATGCAGTTTTGCACGATTGTGTGGGTTTTACATTAAAAATTTATCTAATTGCTCCATTCTAAAGTACCATACTTCTGTCAATATTCCTATTACATGTTGCTGCCCATATTTTTTTACCATATTGTTTATGTGAATGAATTATTCCATAACATATTGGTAAGAGCATGTCCGTTGTCTTGCATCATTTAATATTTCTTTAAATGAGTGTATTAGTACTTAATTTATTACAGACTTCTTCAATATGTCTTCTGTAGGTTAAGTCCTCATCAATATAAATTCCTAGGAACTTGTGACAATTCGCTCAGTTGATATCCTTGTCATTTATTTTGACAATGATTTTGTTGCCCGTGTTTTCATGAATTTCAAGACGTGTGAAAGTAACCCATGAAACATGACCTTTTTTTGTGAAAAACATTCTTATTAATAGTCAAAAAATGAAAGGATATTTGTGTTTCATTATTAATATTATAATGACATTCATAATTGTTAAATTAGAAATGTCACTATAACATTATATAATCAAAATTAATTAATCAAATTTTATCTGTTCACTAACTTTTTTGTTTCTCCTCCACAGATTTCATTCGTGGGGGAGGAGTTGGTTGTGCAGTTGGACGTGGTTGGCTTGTGTTGCTCTCCTCACTTTTACCACGCAAAGTGAGACGAGGGGGTGGAGTGTCTCTCTTCTCAAAGCCCATTGTCTGTAATTTCTCAGTAGCTTTCTGCACATTGTTATCCGAGTTGCTAAGAATATCCAAGAGCAAAGTTTCTTCAACTTTAGGGAAGACGCTTTTCAGATACCTGTTAAATAATTATTTCATGGCAGTAAGTTTAGTGAGCAATGAAGTCATCATTGAAATTATATCTTATAATAAAATACCATAAAGCACTTCAAATATTCACTTTTTTGTTTATTACATTAACTGACATGAACAAGTTACCCATCTTTTTAGCATACCCTCTTTCTGTATGGACTGCATATATTATATCACATATGTATATTCTATGAAAACTAATATAACATAAAATTATCAATTATGTTTTAAGGGAAACTGAAAACAACATCAGTATTCTTATTGTGGAGAGAAAAAAACAATCCTTTATGCATTCCATTCTACTGAACTATCTTTGGTGACATATGGATGTTTTCCTACATTAAATAGCTATTGCTCCTGAAAATAATTTCAATGATGCAAAATATATGCCTACTCATGTATCACACCTGAGAAGAATGGTATGTACATGTGCATTGATATAAACATGCATGCACACTCTTACACCCACTTTCACCCTCTTATTCAAATAATCTGGCACACATTCTGTCAGTTAAAATTTCTGCATTAGTAAAATCAGTTAAAATATTAAGCGAGAAACAGTGACTCCCCATATTCATTATATACTAAACAATTTCAAATTTCACAGTACACTAATTCATATATTTTCAAGAAGGATCAAGTTATTTCTACAAGTAAAATCATAGTTATATTGTTCTACATAACAAACAACTTTGGTTTTTTCATCAAAAATTTAGTTATCTATGATAGCCAAACTTTAAATAGGTCTATTTATTCTAAAGGTTATAATCCTATTTTTATACCATGCACACTATCTTATAGATCAGCATTCTGAAGACTCAATCTATGGATTCCAAAACCAATTTTGAAATTAACAAGCACTTATCACTCAAATGCAAACTGACATTTCATTAAAATCTACCTCATCACATACTTAGGAATTTTATTCTAACTAATTTTCTAAACATAAGCAGCACATGCTGATTACATCCATGCTCTAAGCTCAGGACAAATAATATTTTGTAAAAAATAATTCAAATAAATTAAAATGGTCTCTGAAACAGAATAAGATCAATATCTATTAAATCTATTCAAGTCACCTCTTACCATAACAAAAATGTACTTTGAACCTCTAGGTTCATATAAAAGCAAACAAAATCAAAATCAGAACAAAACCACTACTAACCTATGTAGTGCTCTGGGACATTAACTTATTAACTTCAGCATATACCTGAATCAAAAACAATAAAACACTGAAAAATCATGGAGAAATAATAAAAACAAAGTTCCATATAAATAATAATTGGTACAATATTCAAACATTCTGGGACAGTAAGGTCAGCAGACTACATTGAAGGAACAAATAACAAGTATATATTATCTACAATATGTGACAAACTTTCTTGGATTTATTACCTACAACACAATCTAAATTTACACAACAAACTATATGGACCAGAAAAATATTTATCATCTGTAGGAGCAAGAAATACTGAAAGTTTGCCACACTCAATACAGAAGGCAGGCAGCAGGCAGACACGATATGAGGGATGGGCTCCATGCAGAGCTATGGGGGCCTGAAACAAAACTACTCCCAGGAGAAAAAGACAGGTGTTCTTCAAATGCATGTATTATATAACAGTTGTTTGTGAATTTTCAATTTGCTTCAACAGGCCTGTGTAGTTACAGAAGAATATGAAATAAAAATTTTCAGAAAAAAGATTACCACAAACAGGACTTCTTTTGTGTAAGTTGGTCTCTCTTACTTCTCTCCATAACAAAGATACACAGCTTTGAAGTCACTAATGCTGACACAAAGAGTGAAAATAATTAGGTTCTTCACAAGTTCATCAGGTATGTCGAGACTTCATCTCTGAATTCATATACGTGATTTAATATATACACGTTAAATATAAACGACTGATAGTAATATTTAATCAATACTAATTTGTCCAATTAAAATGAATACTTAATTAGAAGCAAATTACACTCGTATCTACTTTTATTTTGTTTCTTTTGCCTTTGATTTATTCAATAAATTGAGATAATCAATTCATAAATCCCGCTTAAATGATTCTGTGTGATAACTTCAAAGCAATCCTAACAGCAAAAGAAGAACACATATCAGGTAACTCCAGAGAAAGTATAAATCCATTCCACTGCATATTATTCTCTGGCCACCTCAGCTTCATCTTGGGCGAGGAGTGCGGGGGGCGAGGAGCTGGACTGCCTGATCGAGAGCCTGGCCCCTCCCACAACATATGCCCTGGCCGGCGTGCAGCTGCAGGTGGTGTAGCGTATGGCCCAGGGGTGGACAGGGGATGCTTCTCAACCTGCAGGGCACTCACCACCACTGCCTCGCGATTGTGGTACCTGCAATGGCTCACACTGTCAAGTCCATCTGAGGGGAAGGCCTACAAGAAATCTTTTATGCCATCAAGTTAGTTATAAGAAAAAAAGAAATTACTCAAAACACAAAAATTATTTACAATATTTGCAAAAACAACTAGTTCAATAATTCTTCGTAGAAATATTCATCTTGAGGTAATGTACAGGAATTGTATCAACTTAATGCAATAACACAAACATTAAAATTTCAATAATACTTATAAAGAACTTAACTTTTACAACTTACTATTTATACTAATAGAATACACTTATCTGACTTACATTAATTAGATACTATTTTTAAATTGTATTGTTGAAATATTCCAAATTAAGCAGCTACTATATACTAGAACAGGAGGGCACAAACCATAAAAACAAATAAATGAAGCAACATTTCAACACCTGTGCACTTAATCAGTCACAATACATTTGATGTTGGTATAATGATTTGATGCAATACAAACAATAAATGTCCCAAAGTTATGAAAATCAATACACTTGTATATTAATACATAACATCACCTTCAAATTAGAAAATTGTTGAAATTATTCCTTCTAGGTAACAATATATCACAACTCTGAAACAAAAATTTAAAGAAATTTTTCCAAACAAATTTAAATGAACTCACTTCATAAGAAGAGTTCGAATGTGAGTATCACTGACTGTAGGAAACATGGCCCCAATTTTGGCAACTGCTACATCAGGATCAGTGCTCAGAGAACTCTCCACGGTGGCATTAGTGCTACGTGCCGGGGATGAGAATGGGGTCCCCCTCGCAGGTCCCATACTTGCTGCCACACGCCCCGGAATTGGACTCGGTCGTACTGCTGTCATGTCCTAGATTTGCAACGTTAAATACAGTGAAGTTAACAATGCAAGCTTTCTATATTTTAAAATGCCCATTATTAATGAATTGGTTATACTCACACTAAAAATATAGCACCATACATTAGTAAAAAGATTATGATCTTATGAGCAGAAAAACAGAAAGAGAAGAAAAATGACCAATTGGAACGAATTAGAAAAGTTGCATAAAAGAACATTTTGAAAAGGTTAAAGGAAAAGTATTAAGAAGTGTCATAAATAATCAACTAAACAACATGCACGTTCCTGAAAATTCTACAAGCAAAAGCAGGTATCCCAAGTTCTAAAGGTATTTGTGCTTATTACAAATACATTGATATTAGTAGGTAAGTGACTCACTAATAAATAAAACAAACCTGATTCTTTTTTTATTATTATTATTATTATTATTATTATTATTATTATTATTATTATTTAAATTTTTGGAATGTAAGAGGAAAACATGCAGAAAAACAGCACAATACACATCTGGTTACCCTACAAAAAAAAGTATGTGCATTCTCCTTTCTAAATTCAAGTTTATTTTCTTTACATTTAGCATTGGATTTGTAATACAAAGAAGGAAAGTCCTTCATATAAAACAGTACAGAACTCCATTTCATGTACCCTTTAATTTGCAAAGAAAGAAAATGGCTTGACAATAGAACTGAACTACAATTTTTGTTTGTATCCCTACCAAAGTAGACATATGTTATTTTTTTTATTGCCTTGAAATATTACATTATTAAAATGTAAGATATGTGATAAACACTCCATAACTGCTCTGCAGCTGAAGTACTTTAAATTAGGAAAATTAGGTACACATCATGAATATAATAGGACTTCATTCACGTAATCAATATTTACTCTCAGACACAATCAATGAGATCATATAAGTTCTATCTTGAATGTGCATTAAAACAGAAAACTATAGAAAAAATAAAACCTAAAGCAGTTGAGGTATTCTCAGATCTTACTGTCATGTTATCCGAGTAGTTAACATTTCCCACCTCAAAAATTATCATGCAAACGCATGAAAATAATTCACTGATATACTACTATATAATTTGCAACAGAAATCACAAAGACTGACTATTGAATTGATATGTCAGGGCACCACAATGAAGTGCGATAATTTCTCTCCAAATACCAAAAATATAAATATATTACATACAGAAAAACTAAAATACAACACAAAATGTGTATTTACCTGAAAGTGAACCATGGTATGTCTGTGTGGAGGTGGAGGAAATTTGGGCAGGGAAATACTGGGAAGGTCAGAGTACATGGGGTAGCTTCTTGCCCCACGGAGTGGCTGCAGTATGCAGGTAGAAGAAAGAATGAAAAATGTAAAGCCAAGGTATTAGAGCACACATTTCTAACCGATATTTTTGATGCTGTTAAATCAAAATGTAAACTCTTGTGTAAGAATCAACTAAAAATATGCACATGATAATTGCAACTAGCAATTATAGTTAATCGTTTTTGTTTCTTAGAATTATAAATTTAAGAAGTGAATTGTGCATTGTACACAGATATTCTAATCTGATATTTCTGACAATTACATCAAGACCTTTTTGGCAGAAGTCTATATTACAAATTATTTTAATTAATATGCTAAAAGGAATAAGTTAATAAGAAAGACAAAACCACGACACAAACTATTAGGAACAAATTTAAATGGCATAATAATACAAAGCCTGTATTGAAAAACTATAAATCTGTTGAGATAAGTAGGATAACTAAACAAGTGTGTCAGTTCTCACTTAAATTATTTATCTCACTTTTGCTTTCCTGATACCTATAACTGCTCATTAGCACAATAATTTCTCTAACAACTACAGTAAGGAAGAAATTCTATAGAGGCTTTTCAGATAAATTTACTGACTAAGAGTGTCGATAACTTCTATTATTTAAATGTCCATTTTCATATCAATTTCTTCCAAACACTTATTAGTTTTACAAAAAAAAAAATTATTTCCTTTTTATTTTTTTCATTTTCACTCTTACTAAGAAAAGTCAGTACTATTATGTTTAAGTATTACAATAATAGTATGATGTTACAAAACAAATATGAATTTCTTTCTCACAATTTCGCACAGTTTAATTCAAAAATAGAGTTACATTTTGAAACAGCATATTTATAGAAGGAGTTTGAAGAACACATAATTATTAGTAGAATTTAACATTCACATTTTACTACGACCAGCATTAGTTTCGTGCACAGTATCTCAAAATCTACAAGGGCACATACGCACTCCCACACACACTTCAACACAAAATTAAAGCTCAGTAATGATTGTCATCATACCTGGAGAGGTATGTTTTCTACCATGGTAGGTGCAGGTACATGCTGAGGAGTAACTTGATTCAACTGGCGGTACCGAGATCTTGGATCCTCCCATGTTGTTGTTTTATTGAAATAGTTAATGAAGTAGCTGCAAAAGCATTAGAGTTGGAAGAGATCTACGATGCAAATTACTCATTTGCTAAGTAGTTTGATACTTACTACCGTCCCGTGCGATGATCATATTTCCTATCCCAACCTGGTGGAAGAGGTCCTCCCCCATCGTCTGCCATAGTTGTCTTTACACGCAGAGTCTCAGTACGTTTTATTTAATGAATTATCTCACGCATAGGAAAAATAGTGGACTACTGCTCTAAGATCTTCTACAGTACGTCAATAATTCCAACAAACCCCGCCTACCTGGAAGTGTCAACCATTGATCTTTTCGGTCAAGGTCGCACATCTGACGTAAACAAGGGAAAGAATGTCGACCACTCAGGACAAGGTGCGTGCAAAATACTGACAGTGCTCTTCCTTCCGTATCATACAACAGCGACCCTAGCGGCGTTCCTGAAATTCTTTCTAGCGGTGTATTTGAAATTCACATTTTGGCACCAAAAACCTTATTTTATAACGAGATAATTATAGACGAGTTCTGAAATTAATTAAATACGTAATATATATTCAAATTAAATCCTTAAATATGTCAGGAAAAGTTGCAAACTAATATTAGAACACTGTTACACAAAAACTAATGACCATAATCATTTGACGTGCCCATATACAACTATCAATCGATCAATCAATCCCTCTCTGGAGCAATACAGACGTCCTAATCCGTTAATCAGAAAAATATTTCACTTGTGTTAAAAACACCACACGAAAGGTAATTTAAGCCAGAAATAATTTATTTTTTTAGAAGACCGTCATCGTCTTTGTCAACGGTTCTTTATTACACGAAGACACAATTCTCGATAATTTGCCACCATTTCAGACGCATCTGTCTAAAACAGCGTTTGCCAACTAGCGGAGAAATGACATTGGAGCTCCATTCCCCTCCGCGAGCATGCTATACGAGAAGCAGCGCGAGAAAAGGGGTGGAGAGAGAGGGGGGTAGATAGCTGTCGCCAATGACGAAAACCTTGGTAGTGGGTCTTCACCGGTATTTCAGGCAACATGAGAGCCCATATATGCCCGTTAATTTTCTTTCGATTTGGAAAGAAATGTTTCTTTTTTTAGATACCGTAACACTGGAAGTGTTTTCGAAAGAATTGCAGTATGTTAAAAAGTTCAACCGACAGAAGCATTACCCTGATTTGCAACCCAGAGAAACTCGCGAGATGAAAATAATTTCTGAGAATTTTCAGATAGTCTGCAATCATGAGATGAGAAAGGTATTTTGCAGATAGATTATGGAAAAGGTACTGAAAATCACGAGGATTTACAACATTCACATACAAAACTGTACATGGAATAATCAAGCCTGGAGTCCGAATTCTCCAACGCGACCCCTCCTGGGTATCTATTCATACATACATGTATACATTTATTAGAATTGCAATTGGGTATGACCCGGTGGCAGTTAAGTGACAATAATTGCAAAAATTACAACACTTACATTAATTAAGTTAATATAATAATAATAATAATAATAATAATAATAATAAATAATAATTAATAATAATACCGTACAAACAGTACAATCAGTACAAGACGAAAAGGCAGCATTGAAAAGCGCATTGATCCCACGTTCACCGCACTTCACTTCACTTTTTTGCTTTGAATTACACTGACCAGCACATCACGCACTTCTCCCACTACACACCAACATACCATTTTAATATCTGTTACTGTCCATCTTGTTCTAATTTGTTTCTAAAAACTTCGGACGCTGGAGGGGAAAAGCTTTTGAAAACTGTGGCAGGTAAACTCTTTCCAATCTCTAATTGTTCTGTTACAAAGGAAAACTTCCCTTGCTCGGAATTTTGTGGTGTGATCGCTTCGGCCGAAATAATTTGGTTTTTCTAGTCTAATCTGAATTTCCTTCCAAGCTGGTTGACCTACGAACGATTTATGAAGAGCGCAAAGCCTCGCCTTTGTTCTTCTCGTTTCTAGAGGTTCCCATTTGTTAACATTAATTACAGTGGCACACAAAATAAAAATGTCAGAACCGAAGACGTGACACATGTTCCTCGTGTATGTCAACGCGCTGAATTCGAAGCCAGAATTGCGCTACCACTCTCCAGTTGTTTTAAATCGTGAAAACACACAGTGGAATTGTAAATTTCACCGTGATGGGGTTTTTTGGCAATTAAAAAACTGGAAGGTGGTAGCGCAATTCTGGCTTCGGATTCAGATTCAGCGCGTTCACATGCATAGAGATACATGTGTTAAGCCTTTGGGTCTGACAACATCCCCCGAAAACAAAACAAAAAAATAATTTCACGGAGGATTTTTGCGATTTAAATAAGTGGATGGCGGTGGCATAATTCTGGCTTCAGATTCGGATTTAACGCGTCGACATACACAGAGAAAAATGAGTCAGGTTTTTGGTCTGACAACTTTTTTTTTATTTTGTGTGCCTGTGTTATTGGTTCAAATCAATCTAAAATCGTTATATTACATAACACTGTATATAATATTGTATTAGAATGCTAAAACAGTCTTCTTCAATAATGTGTGTTAGAAGAATGGAAGTTGAATTACTGGCTACGATAGAGTCAGATATTGCTTTGTGTTATGAAATATTGTACGTTCTATTTTTTAATTGTTCATATTTTGATTGAATCATAAATATTTAAATAATAAATACCATTTAAAAATGTAATTATCGAGCAACCTTTTCCCCCCACTTCCGTACCATCATTGGAAGACTATGTCCGGCGCCGCATCGGGCACTGCATTTGCTGGGCCACTTCGTTCGCAGCAGGAGACAAGTTTTTGTGACATCGCAGAGGATTGTGTTGGCAAGCACTGGTCTACAATTATGTTGTGACTGCCTCAGAAGAATGCATTAACTTTAACGAAAATCAGGAGCAATCAAAGCAGTGTGGTGAGACGGAACACCGGTATTCAGTGCAATAACCAATCGAAGAAAAAAATCGATTTCTTTCGGTTGAATTAAAATGTCTCCAACAACTTATCAAAGTAGTCAAACCAGCTTTAATCTAATCTCGTCTCTTTTAGCTCTTTAAATCTCTTTTCAAAATTGTAAAATATTTTCCCCAAATTACACAATTAAACAGAATGTCTCTGGAATAAACAAGTTTATTCTCGTAAAAAGGAAAATTAGGTATTTATTTATGTCAAAAACAGTTAAAAACTGTGTGACGTGCTATGGGGAGAAGTTAATTTAAAGTTAAGTTTATTAATTTTCAAACTAAACAAATACATATAACATTTGTTGAACAAATAACAGAAGTACAGTGCATAATTTCAACTACTAAAAATAAAACAATGTATAAACACACCTTACTAATGTTTAACTTTTACAATAGTATACTACATAGCAAGTGAGATACACGATTTCTTCTTAGGGTGCGTCTGAAGCCCGAGACCTAAAATTTCACCGTGGAATAAATTAATTCTTCCTGTAAAGTATATGTGCAATTTTTTAAAGACCACAATGCTATAAATCTTGATAGAAACTCATTTAAAATATAATAAACCTAACTTCGAACATGACATTAAATAGTTTTGACTATCAATAATTGACGTAATAATGGGCAAAGAAAAAACATAGTTTATTGCTGTTGCAGTTACTGAAATCATGTCATATACATTCACTACTGAAAAATATTTTAAAACCTTTATGATGGAGTTTGCTTAATATTTAAAGAAAGGTGAATAGTTAAAGGTAAACTAAACTACTGTGAGAAAGTGATATTATCAAAATGTCATATTTTGGCGAAGAATCTAAGGAATACAAATCCTTCACGGCGAGGGAACAATAATCCATGATAAAAGGTGGTAAATTTGGTAAACAAGAACACCGACATAAAAGAAAATGTGGAAGTTCTTGCGGTTTTAATCGAAAAATTACCAATAAAAATCACATTTTTACGCAGAGGAGGGGGACTGATAAAATTTTTAACAAGAGAGAAAGAAAGTGAAAAAAATTGACAATGAAAGAAAATAATATAACACTATATAAAATATGAATTCATTTTTTGTTACAGTGAAACTCAATTACATGGTCTCTAAATAACTGATGTTCAAAGTCTTTTTTCATTGTATAAACAATGAAAATTTTATCTCTCCCCCTCGAGAACAAATACTTCACTTTTCTCCTGCATTTGCTAACCCAAAAGATAGGTTTCTACTCCCTGTGTGTAAAAGGATGTGTAAGTTCCATTGAACCGAGAATCAGTTAATTACTTGGCTGCCTACTAATGTGCCATTTGCATGGAATCTAATAATGATAGAATTAACTAGGTCGTCGGGAAGTCGAGAAACTATTTTCTCTCAAGATTAGAGCTTGTTTTTGGCGTTTGTTTTGCCCGTAAAATGTCTTGGAGATTTTTTTCGGTAGGTATTATCGTGTAAACTACATTACATTAGCATATACGAGTCAATGAGGAATGGGACGAACTAAGTTATTTCACCTCTAACCTCAAATGAAGGTCTAGACCGATACGTTGCGTTAACACAAACAGTAAGTGCTTGAAAGAAATACGTACAAGAAACGCGAAAGACTGACAATGTATTGCATGAAATTGAGAGCTTGTAATGCCAACGATTTTGTAACTCGTGGTGCAACAGAATGGCACAGACTTTCTTGTACCATTTTGTTTGGGATAGCTTTTCGGATTTGTCCCATCCTCTTTCCATCTACTCTTACCCCATCCCTTTGCTGCCTAAAGGACATTTATACACAAGTTTTCGGTTCCATTATAGTAGACCTGAAATATAACTTTAAGAACATATATGAGTAAAATCTAGTCCTATACGTAAGTTTTCGTTCAAAAATTGGAGACGTTTCTGAGAAAATGTTGTTTGATCGTTTCTGAAAATACGTAATTTTCAGCTCCTCCCCCTCCAATCTTTTGTGTATGCGGGAAACTTCATTGGAAATCATTTGAAGCACTTGTTATCACAAATGCAATATCCAAAAGTATATAATAACAACGTGAGTTACATAAAAATATATTTGTGTCATATTGAAAAATTCAAATGAATAAATCAAACTGGTGTGTAATTCAATGCACGCAACGTTTACAAAACGTTTCAAGAAAAAAAATTGGCGCTGTTTTTGATAAAACGTCTTTCGAGCGTTTCTGAAAATGCGGAATTGTGTCGGAGAGACGAACGGACGGACGGAGGGACGAATGGACGGACGGAGGGACGGGCGGACGGGCGGACGGACGGGCGGACGGGCGGACGGGCGGACGGGCGGACGGGCGGACGGGCGGACGGACGGACGGACGGACGGACGGACGGACGGACGGACAGACGGTTTTGAAAGAAAAAAGATTTCTGTATATCAGGACCTCCAAAACGTGTGTCTCCTTTAAAATCTCGAAATCGATTTTCCGAAGTGTTACATAACTTTCCCTATTCTACGTGTATTGTACCGTATACATTACGTACGTATCCGAGAAAGCAATAACGTTGAACCTCGAAGAATGTTGATGATGACAAAAGATGGTGTACTACGCAAGCGTAAGTGACAAATTTTCGACATTTAACAATAACTCTCCATCAATATTTGCAAAAGTACTATTGTATTGCTACACTAATACAAACATGTCGGTACCTTCCCAGCATGTCAACATCGATAAGATCTGATTTTAACGACATACTGAGTAATAACTTATTTTTGTCATAGAATTAAGATCTAAAGCGTCGGATCTATCAACAGATTAACAAGAGTTTTTCTACAAATTTGTAATTCAACGGATGATAATCCCTAGAAATAATAACCATACGCGAGTATTAGTGTAATTTTTTCTGCTCTTTTTTGGATTCAAGGTTGCTTGCGACAACCACGAGCTGTTGCAGTGACGACACCTTTACCACTCACTGTTCAGTGTTGAAGGCCGCACATCGTGTCAGACAAAGGGTGCAAGCGTAGTCAGGGGCATCCAGAACAGCGGAGGTAAGATGGGGCAACGTACTCCAGGCCCCGACTTTTTTTCTTTCGAACGAAGTGAAAAATATATTGTTCTCTTCGTTCGAAAGAAAATGTTTCTCTCGCAAATGTTAAGTAACGTCCACAGCATAACGCCTATTGCATCATTTTTCTTAAAATATCTTTAATCCACGAACTCAATCCTCTCTCCTCTCTCTCCTGTATCCCCACTCCATCAATGCCAGCCATAAGATGTTACATACTTTAAATAAATACAAACGCATCAGGAGCCCATTTAAGATAGTCGCAGATGTAAAGTTGTCCAATAAATGTTGGGTATTTTTGTTTTGTGACTCTGAAGCCATTAGTAAAACATTGGCGATGATCAGTGATTAAAAATAAATTTAAAAAAAGTGATTAGTAGATCACAGGTTCGGTTTCGCCAAGGTGCCACAACTTTTCTTGATGAATTCAACATCGGTGAGTTTGTGACGCCTCTCGGAATCGAATTTCAAGACCGATTGCTTTGATCAGGGATCCCTGACCCTTCCCGATGAATGCCTGAGCAGCACCCTGGAGTACGACACACGAACCGCGAGATCCTTATCCTCTCTTGTCTCTCCTTAACTTCTCGATACCTCTCCTCGCTTGTCCTCATTGCCGTCCTTAGGTCCCAGCAATGGGCCGATCATTTATCCTCATATCGGCTCTCCCATTAAATTCATAAAACATTTGACAAGCTTTGGAGATAAGAGAAAACAGTGAAGATTTGTTCCATGAAACGCTAATAATGTTTCTCGTGGTGGCAAGAAAATGGAATAATAAATCGTTAATTTCTTTGGTTTATTATATGGACTACAACACGCTTTCATGTAGTTATCACACTCCTCAAACATGTCCCTCGTCGAAACAGTTATCTTTGTATGAAAAAGTCGTTTTAGTATGTGACTATTATATGGTGCGAAACTGGCTCGATGTATTAGAATAGCGACAAACTTCTGTGTCATTGGTATACACTCGGCGTGGGTGAGAAGACCACAACACATTTAGATCGGAATGAAATCGGTTAAATGATGAACCTGGAGACAAACGTCCTTTACAGTTTCATGAGTCACAATTTGGTCGATGCAACAGTTTAGTGATAGGGTATTAAGAGCCATACACAAATAACGAATACCAACACAGTAACAGCGAAAATTGTTATCAGAAAACCCACCAGACATTGCTTTACGGCTGCAACAAGAACACGTGTGTATTTATTCTATTTTTATGTCATTTCATTTGTTCATTATATTTTTTGCAAGCCAAAGCAGATGGATTAATGGAATGCGCATATTTAATTAAGAAATAATACTTTGGTGGTAGTTACACTGTGGAAGTGTCTATACAAGTCGTAGTTTGGTGTAAAAGGCTTAGAAATTTTGAGTTGGCTGGACTCGAGGATGTTTCTTTGTGTTAATCGTGGAGCCCAAAGGCCATCGACCTGGAACTGCACGAGCGATTTCAGTCAAATTGGCAGTATCCAATTAGATATTCTTTAGCTAGGCAAACTTAACCATAACGCGCACAACCTTTCTGAATCACCATCCATTCCATAGCGAATTCCACACATCACCCTTGTATCCAGTTACTGCAGCTATTTATAAAAAAAATACAGTATATTTCTGAAGATAATACGACCTTAGTATAAGACAAGGTATCCATTTTCGTCAAAGTTGTATATTATTGGGGTATATCTGTCCTATAAGACGACCTCCGAACCATTAACGGCTTATGAATGAAGCAGTGATTACATTCTGCAAAACGTGTGGTATTTCTAACGGCATGAATGGCACACGATTGTTAAGGGATACTGATGACGAAGAGAAAATGGACTTCGAAGTACAGAATGGAACCCATATGATGAACTTCCCAGCAACGAAACTGCTGTACGTCAGGAAGTATTTGCCTCAGATGGTGAATGTGAGATTGTTTTGTTCCCTTTTGTATCTGTCCTGTAAGACAACTCCGTATTTTTGGGGTGTGTCGCTCACACGGACGCGGCCAAGGTCGCCGAGGCCGAGGCGGGGGTGGCGGACGAGGAGGCGGCGGGGGCGGGGGCGGGGGCGGGCTCGCGGCAGCGTGCGTGCAGGTCGGCCGTGTAGGCGAGCATGTAGGCGGCGTAGGCGGCGTCGGAGACGCGCGCGGGCAGCCAGCCGCCCAGGTTGCAGTCCACCACCCAGCGCATGCGCGTGCCCGCGCCCGGGGCCGGCGCCGGCTCCAGCAGCCAGCCGCCCGGCCCGCACGCGGCCCTGCAAAATTTTCAATCTTAGTAAAAAAAAACAACTTTTACGAAATTAAGTTTTAAATTCCTTTACGCTCCTTGCGGCGATATCATATTCTTCACCGGAAAGTAATGAAAAAGTATCATTTATTACATTATATTATTATTTATTACATAGGTAATAAAATAACGATACAGAGCACAGACTCCTGGTAGTGAGGAATAAATTTGGAATAAAACTATATTTTGGCGTCCTACTCTGAGCTTTCAAGGCCAGCTTCCAAACTCAATGTATGGCTACTATATTTTTAATACTTTTACTGTGATAATTGTCTTATTCTCGTTTTTGTATTAAGTATTATGTAATAACTTTCTTGTTCTTGGGTCTTCATTCTTTATTTATATTAGTTTGTTTCATATCTGTAACTTGTACTTTTACTGTTCACAAATTGTGACATTCTAGCTTTTGTTGTTCAGTATTACGCAATGACTTGTTTTTATGTCTTTTTAGTATTTTGTGTTCTCCTTGTTTTCTATAGTTGTGTAGTTTTAATACTTCAAACTTGTAAATTTTTTCTTTCAATATTGAACGCTTTTATGTAGTTAGTTACAACCCGTTTAAGAATAATTAAATAAAACATTTAAACTCATTAAAATGACATACGCTGTTTGCATACGTGCAAGTATTATAAATCAATTTTCCATAGTGCATTGTATTAAAAATCTCTATGTATCATTGTATGGAAAATTATTGTATTTTGTAGTCGCTAATGACCATCATCGTCGATGCAACTTTAAAAAATTTCAAACGCATTTAATTTTTTAAATTATGTTTTGATATTGAGGCATGGCAAAATACCTTATGGTACTTTTGGATCCGAGAAGCAAAATATTAATGTCCAATAACATAATGTCTTTTAACCAGCGCTCTGAGACGCGGAGCAAAAAAGCAGAAAGCATTAATGACGTGAAATTCGTAAGGAGAACGATTATTTTCGTCCAGACAGAGGTAATCGTGACAATCTCCTCAATACTCATTGGTTCTTACGGCAAAGTAATAATCTTTGTTAATTATGTGTCCCTTTTTTTTCAGAACTCTCTCATCTCATAAGTACACATAAAGAGATGCATAAAAGTTTTCGTTGCAGTTTCTGCTAATGCATCTAAGCAATATTTCGCAGTCTCAACAGACCGTTATTCGGCACAACGGTTCGATTACAGCATTAATGATACAATTAGTAAATACAGTTCATTTGATGTTGAGCCATTTACAGGTTGCCAAATTTCTTGTCGCGTAAGAATTCCTCAAATTGTCAGGTTAAAAGTTGTGAAAACTCAAGGAATTAACATATTTACGGAAGTAAAATAATTTATTACGGACTACGGAGTCCCTTTTAAATTTTTCTGGAGGGCCATGGGTTCCTGGCCCCTCTGCGCATACCTATGGGCGCGCGACGATGGTGTAACGGTTAGCGTTTCGGACTGTTATACCCAAGTTGGACCGATCGAAGCCGTGGATTTTTAAGGGCGAAAAAATCCTTCGTACGCCATCCTTCGGAGGCGAAGTAAAGCCGACTGTCGCATGTTAGTAGATTTACTTGCATGTAAAAGATCCTCAAGCCTAAATGACGCCTCTGAGCCAAATTCAAATTGCCTGCTTCTCGCGCAAGAAGTACCTCCTTTCTCTGCTAGTTGGTGAAAGGAGCGTAGCGAAATTTGCGTGGTCAGACGGAAGAGTAGGCATAATGGCCTGAGTCTCGCCACGTAAAATAAGGCATTAATTCATTTCAATTCACCTATGACGTTAAAATGATGAGGTGAATGTTGATGGAGAAATGATGGAAGGGGAAATGAGAGGACCCCGAGCAATACGATTGAGAGTTTGCATTGCCTTCCACAATAAATCCCCGTGGACTGGCTGGGCAGCTAACCAAAGGTCTAGTGTTGAAAGGCGTTTGCGCTGGCTATTACGCCACGAGCTCCCTCGTTTCACCGATAAAAATTATTACTACATCCATTTATCATTTAAATAATATCCAATGCCATTTTCGAGCCATTTATTATTTGAATGTAGTCCCACGTAGTTTACAAGCCATTTAGTTAAAAAGTAAATTAAAAATTTGGTAAGCCCATTGTGCCTGGTTACGTAAAGGCTTCGTTGAAGCTACTTCGTTTTCCAAAGTCTAAAAAAGTTTTACATATTACAACAAAATTCCCTTAGTTAATTGTTTTTATTTTCTCGTATTTTTCTTCAAATTAAAATTGTTCTCGCATATTGTTAATTAAGGACAAACATACATTTTGAAAATATTAGTAGGTTATAATTGTATATAAACGTAGTAGCAATATTAAAATACATTAGAAACATAAATTTATCAAATATGACTACAACTGTTTTCTTTAAACTGTTTGTACGCGTAGTGCCAAATGCACAGAATAACACTGCATTAACGCAATATTTTAAGTATTTTTTCTTATTGTTTTTTTTAAAATTACACAAATGTAATTTTTTTTAAATTTGTTAATTTTTACATTTGATAGATTTCATTGTTTAATACGTTTGCGGACACAGAAGCTTCAAAGTATCTCTAAGGATGGTTTCCAAAATATCCAATTCTCGAAAATCCGTAAGTTTTTGAGCATATAGGAACTCAAAATGGCGGATTTTCGAAAACGTTGAAACATTTCCTCAAAAACAGAGGCAATTTTTCTCGAAAATATTCATGTTGGAAAAGAGTTCAATTCTCTACAACAATCCAAAAGCGTTATCAAGATATAAGGGGCGCAATATTTTTGTTTTTAAATACTGAAAATTGTTGGTGTTTTTAATCACAGATTAAAAATATTGATTATACAGAAACGAAAAGAAAATGCCGATCTGGATGGACGAGGTGGCTAGAACGTGTGCCGACTCAGCGCCTCAGTTTGGAAGGGCGCGGGTTCGAGTCACGCCGTGGGCATCGTTGTTTGCCCCTTGTCTTTCATGTACGTGTGCTGTCGCGGAAGGCCTTGTGAGTCTGCTGACCACAGACAGACGAGTGTCGAGTGTAAACGGTTTATATGTGTCCCCACTAGAGACATAGAGTAGCTTAGAGCGTGTATCGACTCGGCCCTTCGTTCCGAACAGTCGCGGGTTGGAGTCCCACCTTGGGCATTGTTTGTCCCTCGACTCTCATGTACGTATTGTTGCTAATGAACTCGCGTCCGGCTGACTCCATCTCAGGGAACCCGCAAGTGTGATGGTCGGCAATATTATAATCGACCTATGTAATTCTATTATTTATCCCATCGTCGATGTACCCATTGCCGTAAATATTATTTTGGAGATGATTTTAACGATTTATGACGATTTTGGAGACGTGCCACTTTTTTTGTGCCCTGGCGATACATACACTCGAGAAAAAAAATACACTTCCATCTTTTCGTTCTACGCTATGAAATAAAAGTTGGTGTTCAAAGGCCTTCCTCATTGAGCAAGTTGAGTGTGGTAAGTGCTCCTGCAAGACGACAGAGACGGCGTAGGAGGGGACGCAGGGTGAATGCAGCGGCCATGACGCACATGAAGGACGCGCGAGAACGACTTTCCACGGTTGCACAGTACGCCCGCACTCAGTGCACGAGCACCGAGCGATCAGATCAGGAAAGACTGCCCCGTTGTTTACGTGCGTCAGATTTGCATTGTATGAGCGTCCGCGATGATTTATTGTAGATCTAATGCGTAAGTGGATCTACCAGTTCTTTTTGCTATTTTATTCCTGTATCACTTTCCATAATATTTTAGACCCGTTTTGCAAGGTCAGCCTCGGTCACAAGGCTCTCAGAGAATATTTAACTGTCGTCAAGCTCTAAGTCAAGGGTCTGAACTGAACGATCACGTTGCGAAGTTAATGATGCGACTTTTTACAGTAAAACTGGAAAAGGGCAAATTATCAGTTGCGTTTTGGAAGATATATCTCAGAAGTTTTTGAATCTTGGAAAGTAACAGAATTTTATAGTTTAAAATAGTAAGTCATTTCAATTATTGCTCATCACCTCGAGCCATTCTATACTTATCATTGTTTGAAACGATAATCTAACTAGAATCTAACTATATTAGAAGTCGCAAAATATGTTGAATTTTAGAGATTTCATTTCTTTCATACAGTCAACTTTATAGTTGCCATTAAAATGTATTACCACAATATTTGAAGTGCATTCTCAAAATTAAACATTCCAAACGAATAATGAATGCCATACATATTAATAAAAAAATATCACATACTTGTTGCAAAACCTCTCTTACGGAAATTGCGAATGCATGCAAGACAATCCAATTGCAATGTAATGAATTGTTTGAAAAAAATGTTATGATCAGAGGCAAATGGCATTACATAACAACATTATGAACTCATACTATTTGTTTATTTTGTCAGATATGAGTGGTATCAAGTTGTGACATTTTCATAATTTCCGTATTATAAATGCAATAACAAGAGGTTGGAAATATTAGGACAACACTTCAGAGTAGTTATCTCATGATCGCACGGGTTATCAAGTTTTCAGTTGCGATGTTTCGTCTAATTGCATCGGAACAATCTATTTATAGACACGAAGTAATATCCCGGAATGTTATGCAAAAATCAGATCCAGCTTTTAATGTGATACAGAAAAGCACCAAACAAAAGGAAGAAAGTAAGTAACAAAAATGTATGAGCAAATGATTTTCATGAAATACATTCGTAAGAATGGTTTAT